CTCTGGGTGTAGAGCCAACTTTCCCACCACAGCATTCAGTGTGAATTGTTGGGTACAGAGCAATAGCATTTCTTTTTTTTTTCTTTTTTTTTAACTTTTATTTAATGAATATAAATTTCCAAAGTACAGCTTATGGATTACAATGGCTCCCCCCCATAACGTACCTCCCACCCGCAACCCTCCCCTTTCCCACTCCCTCTCCCCTTCCATTCACATCATGATTCACTTTTGATTCTCTTTATATACAGAAGATCAGTTTAGCATACATTAAGTAAAGATTTCAACAGTCAGAGCAATAGCATTTCAACTTCTGTGTAGACTTCCTGCAGAGAGGCCAAATATTTTGTGGTACTAATTTTGTTGTATTTGCCTGTTATGTTAAAAAAAAAAAAGAAAGAAAAACAACCAGCAAGAATACAGCTGTGTTCAACCTCTAAGCAGACTCCTATGCAATGGCCCTTTAGTAAGGAGCAAAGGAAGAAGCTACAAGGGCAAGAGAATGGAGTCTTTTACAAAAGCCAAGTAGCAGGCTCCAGGATTAGTTACTAGCAAGAGTTAACAGGTTGTCAGGGCCAGCACTGCGGCAAAGAAGGCTGTCTCTGCCTGTGGTACCAGCAACACATATGGATACCTATTCATGTCCTGGCTGCTCCTCTTCTGAAACAGCTCTCTGCCTATGCCCTGGGAAAACAGTGGAAGATGGCCCAAGTGCTTGGGCCCCTGCATCCACATGGGAGACCTGGAAAAAGCTCCTGGCTCCTGGTTTCAGATCAGCTTAGCTCTGGTGATTGTGGCCATTTGGGGAGTGAACCAGTAGATAGAATACCTTTCTCTCCATCTCCCCCTCTGTCTATAACTCTATCTCTCAAATAAATAAATTAAAATATTTTAAAAAATACCAAGCAGGTCATTTAGGAATCCAAAAAGTGGAATTTTTTTGTGGAAGATTTATGTGCTTATCTAAATAAAGCTAGAGTAGTAGATCTAATCCCAGAACTCCATTGTTTGTAGCCAGGTGTGAATGAGACCTAATGGACTTGTACACATGGACTTTTTTTTTCAGGTTGCCCAAATGAAGAACCCAAATCATTTATTTCTGATGGACACAGGATAATCAAATGACCAGAAAGACTATGCTATCTGAATTAACATTTTTAAAATGTTATTCTAAATATCATAAGGTGGAATTAATAAAAATTCTTGCCTTCTCAAAATTAATGTTTGTCTACATAATGATATAGGTGTTGGATGAACAAGATTCAGAGGGAAAGTCATATACAATGAAATTGACATTCTTTAGTTGAACCAAGTACAATTCGCAGTGTGTTGGTTTTTTGTATGATAACCTTGGCTTGTCCTAGCCATTTAGAAAATAAATCTTCATTATATCTCCTGAAGATGAGACACCCATCTGTCAGTTCATTATAGTGGTTGTAGAGAAAACATTTGGAAGGGATGACTTAACAAAAAATACTTCTTGGCTAGACAGAACTCCCCAACTGCAGAGAAGCAGAATGATGGCATCTTGGAAAATACAGAAGCTGGAAAGAACTCAGAACCCTGCTAGAGCAGAAACCAACCTGGGAAAGTCTCCACACACTCAGAATACCACTGCTATGGCAGCAGATGCTGGAGAAGAGTGTGCAGCTGCCAAGCATGGAGGAACAATAGCCAGAGATGCAGGCATAGCCTTCAGGGGTGTTGACACCATGCATCAGTGAAGAGATGGTAACTGGGAAAGGACAGACCATGCCTTGTGATGCAAAATAACAGCCAGACTTAGAAAGAAAATACTACAGTGGTATCTTTTCCCAGAATCCAAGTTGTTGGGAACAGTAGACCTAGACTCAGTCTCCTGTACCCAGAGTTAGAGGAAACCATTAGTAGAGAGACCTTGCTTTTGCTTCCCTATTACCCAGTCTCTTCAGATCACAGCACCCAGTGCTTTCTTCTGTGGGATTGCCCCTCCCTCCTTGCTTCTGAATATATATTGAGTTGGGCTGATATCATCATGGGTCCAGTGATGACTGTGGAACCCTAAACCATGCAATTAGGGCATACAAGGCACCCAGACATAACTGGTGCAGAGGTGATAAACCATGACCAGGTCTGCCCATGGACAGACCCCAAGAAGATGTAGATAGAAACTCCCTAGGCTCTGTTATTTACTGCAGGAAAGGAGGAACTTACTGCTGGATTACTACTATAGCACAGAAACTTCAAGGTCCAGATATTAGGCTTGGGTCATTTATTGCTAAGTAGAGCAATCAATGCCATGTATCATGGTAGAGGTTTTTTCTGGATGGCGAATTGGATGGCTGGGTGAGTAAAAGGCCTGTGACCCCTGACCTAGTGAACATTTTCTCCAGATGAGTTGCTAAGACTTTGTGCCTCCTTCGAGCCAAACAAGAAAGGCAACGGGAGCCCCAGGCACACACTGGCATCCTCCTCTCAGCTGTGCACCACTTACCTAATATTTTGGAGGTAAAGCAAAGGAAATAGCACTTGAACTGAGTCCAAGTTGACACTGTTGCCAATCCTTGAACTCCATCTATGTTTAAGTGGCTGAATTAGCACAATCTAGCACATGGCATTTCAGAACCAATCAGTACTGGCTCAAGGATGTGGGTGGAACAACTGAAAGGGAGAGGAAGAATCTCTATTAATTGTAAAATCTGATTTATTTATTTATTTGAGAGAGAAACAGAGTGAGGGAGAGAGAGAAAGGGCTGAGCCAGACTGGAGCCAGAACCCAGAACCCTGCAACTCAGCCCAGATCTCTCACAAAGGTGCAGGGAACCAACTATTTGAGCCATCATCTGCTATCTCTTCACCTGCCTCATCCTGCAGGGTCTGCAGTGAGCTGCCATTGGTTGTTAGAGTCAGGAATCAAACCCAAGTACTTTGATATGGGATGCAGGCATCTTTACTGGTATCTTAACCAGAGTCTTAACTACTAAGCCAAATGCCCACCTCTCCCCCTTCCTCATTATTTTCATGGCTATGAAGTTATTGTACCAAATCTACTGAGAGAGTCTTGTTACCATATAAGAGATCCTGCCAAAGAATGGAAAAGCAAAAAAGAAAGAAAATGGAGTGAGAAGATAGAGATGGAGAGAAACTAAGTGCTGAAGATATCACTTAATCCTGTATATAAATCTAGCTTTTTTTTTTTGAGTATTCAATTTTAGGTGTCAAAATTTGCTTTTTCTTAAGTTGTCTTGTGTTCAGATTATATATTTTTTAAAGATTTATGTATTTGAAAAGTGGAGTGACAGAGAGGGAGAGACATACAGAGAAGGACATCATCCACCAGTTGGTTCATTCCCCAAATGGTCCCAATAGCCAGGGCTGGGCCAGGCCAAAGTCAGGAGCCAGGAACTCCCATGTGGGTGGCATGGGCCCAAGTCCTTGGGCCATGAAAGCAGAGCAGCTGGGACTCAAACTGGTGCTCCTACATGGGATGCTGGTATTGTAGACAGTGGTTTAATCCATTTGTGCCACAATGTTGGCCCCATATTATATTTTTCTTATCAGAAAGAGTTCTAATTTATTGTGATTTGTCAACATTATTTTGAAAGATTTTCTTGAAGTTTTCAAGAATTAAGATTCCCAAGTGTGTCAGTTATTTGCCTACTGTTTCTCAGCCCTGGAACCACTCCCCACTCACCTCCCTGTGCTGTGTGATTCTAGAGTAGGCAGTTCAAAAACTACATAGCCCAGAATCCCTTGTCACTCCTTCCTGTTAGTTTTGGGCCAACACTTGAGTTACGGGAAGGACACTAGAAATAGGTAAAAGAAAGAAAGGACTCTTCCTGCTTCCAGTTCTGGTACCTGGAGCAGAGCTGTGGCTGTTACTCCAGCATCTTTTAGCACTCTCAGCTCACTATCAGAGGCGCCATCAGCAGCAGCAGTTTCCCCCTTGGTGGCTGAAGCACTGACATGGGGATGCCCCGGCAGCAGGACAACCCCCTGCACAGCTCAAGTGGTGATGCTGTGGGTAACAGCAAAGTCCTCGTGACTTCTCCTTCAGATCTCTGTGCTAGACTCATGAGCTAAATCAATGCTTTTTCATTAAACCACTGGGGGGAGGACAGGCATGTTCTACAGCACTATTGTGGTAATAATTCCTTGTTAACAACCTACTACACCAAAACCACTCCTGTCCACAGGGTCCCAGTGGGAACTGGACAGCTTAATGATCTCCAATGAGGTCATGAATGCTGACACATACATGGTTCACCTGAAACCAACCAGCCAGTTATGCCTGGGTGAACAGTCCCAAACCTGCAAATTCTCTGGGGGAGTACTTCCTCAAAGAGACACATGGTTGTCTTCAAATAAAGGTATACTTATATATGATAGCACTATTACTCCATCCCCACCCCAGCTAACTAGAAATACTTTGGCTTGACCTATTTTGCCATATGTAGAACAAGAATAGTACCATATGTAGCTATTGATACTATGTTAATTCTAGTCTTACCTACTGTTCTACTTATTTACTGCTACACAACAACCCCCTCAAGGTTCAGTGTCACAGAACATCATTTTATTATTCTCTCAGATTTAGTGGGTCAGAAATCTGGATTGGGCAGATGAGGGATGGTTCAAACCTACTCTACAAGGTCTAGGTATCCAGCCAGAAAGACTTGAATGCATGGACTTGTTACAAATGGCTTGGCTAGATTTATCTCAAAGGTGTAGAAGGGGGGCTCAGGGTACCTAAATGTGACCTCTCCATTACAGCACCATAAGTTGTCAGACTTACCACACAGAGGCTCAGGGTTCCAGGGGTGAGAATTCCAGAAAGCCAGGCAGAAACTGCTTGGATCCCTTGATCTAGCCTCAGAAGTCACACAGAATCCCTTGTGCCCTACTCTCTTGGTGAAGTAGTCACAAACCCATCCACATTCAACAGGATGGGACCGCGTCAGAAAACTGTCAAAGAATATGCAGTCCTATTGTGGAACCCAAAATCCACAACATCAAGTACTCACTTGGAAAATGGTGTGCAACTGAAGTTCTTCCTCCTTTCTTAAAAGGCATGTGTTTCTTGTATCATCAATACCGCAAAACTCCTGCACTAGCTGTGGCCCCAGGAGTCATGAGGATAACCTAAGGAAGACAAAGAACTCTGATTCCCCCATTCTTGGGTAGTTTATCACCTTCTGAAAACGCAGCTGTAGGCAATGTAACTCTCAAGCCTGTATGTGAAACTCACAAATGTTTAAGCTAGCTAAGATGATTCTCCACATGGTATGTATCATCTTTTAAAATCTGTTTTGGGCTTAGTTCCTTACATCCCCTGCATGAAACCCATCCTATAGTATGAGCAGGTTTCATCCAGATGACATGGATGCTCAAGGCCTCCCAAAATAATCAACCTTTAACACTAATTGAGAGACACTGGTCCTCAGGGTGTGTGTGTGTGTGTGTGTGTGTGTGTGTGTGTAGTTATCATGACCAACAATGAGGCCTTGAGACCTTTTATTACCTACATAAATCACCCATCAGTTTTAGAAAAAGGTCCACAGATGAACCTCTGAAGCAGCTGGGTATTCCTGCTAAAGAGACTGCTTGGGTTCAGACAGATATGTCTTTCATCATGTCCACAGTCACACTGGAGAATGAAATTAACATCAAACTCCCCTAACCTCACACACTGAATATGCAAATAAGAAGAATCCCAGCACCAGCTATCTAGCTCTGCTTCTATCACAAATGGAAGCCATAAATGGGTTCTGCAATAAGAGAGGCTGTGGATTGTCACCAAGTGGCCCCATACACAGTTAAACAAATGTGGGCTAGTGAAGAGTGTCCCCAGGCACAAAGGAGTTGCATATAAAGGCCAAGGCACTCTGCAATACTTGCTGACTACAGCCCTGTTCCTATTAACTTGGGCTCATGATACTATCAACCATCTCAATTGTCATGGGGTGTCCTGGTTTCAAGCCCTCTGACACAGTCATTGTAAAATCTGTAGTATCTTCACAGCAGACTCATAGAATGGCAGATGTCCTAAACAGCACTCTGGCCTCAGAATTAGCCCTTAAGGCATTCAGATCTGGCTGAAGAGCCTATGAGAGTATTTTAGGCATGGAAAGCCAAGACACTCTGGCAAAAAAAAAAAAATAAATAAATAAATAAATAATACATAAATAAATGAAAGATCTCTGCGAGTGAGATCCCAGTAGAAAGAACAGGCCATCAAATAAGGAGGTACCTTTCTCTGAAGGGAGAAGAGAACTTCCACTTTCACTATGATCTTGTCTATATAAGATCGAAGTCAGCAAACTCAAGAGGCTTCCATAGCCTTGGAAACTCATGACTAGAGCCTAGGGAGATTTCTGACTCCATAAACAAGAGTGTCAAATTGTTAAGTCAACAACAGGAGTCACTGTGCACTTGCTCCTCATGTGGGATCTCTGTCCTTAATGTGTTGCCCAATGTGAATTAATGCTATAACTAGTACTCAAACAGTATTTTACACTTTATGTTCTGTGTGGGTGCAAACTGATGAAATCTTTACTTAATATATACTAAATCGATCTTCTATATATAAAGATAATTGAAAATGAATCTTGATGTGAATGGAATGGGAGAGGGAGTGGGATATGGAGGGTCACGGGTGGGAGGGAAGTTATGGGAGGAAAAAGCCATTGTAATCCATAAACTGGACTTTGGAAAATTATATTTACTAAATAAAAGTTTAAAAAATAAAAAAAATCTGTAGTATCTTTTGATATTGACTTTTCCTCTAAAATTCCATTACTTTCACACCACACTCATGACCATTACTTGGATATTTCAATCAAAAGTCAATTGTCACTGGGGCTTGTGTTGTGGCACAACAGGTTAAGCCACTGGATGTGACATCAGCATCCTCTATCAAGTGCTATTTTGAATCCTGGCTGCTCTGTTTCTGATCCAGCTCTCTGCTAATGTACCTGGGAAAGTGGCAGATAAAGACACAAGTACCCAGGCCCTTGCTATCCATGTTGGAGACCAGGATGGAGTTTCTGGATCCTGACTTCCTCCAGACCTGGCTATTGAAGGCCATTTGGGGAACAAACCTGAGTATGGAAGAGACAGATCTATCTTCCTCCCTTCTTCCCGTCCTTCCTTCTTTCTTTCTCTAACAAATCAATCTTTTTTAAAAAAATTAAGAATCATAGTTCCTCAAATTTTTGTAGCATACAAAGCATTGCAGCTTTGATCCCAAACTACCAAAAGTTTCAACAGCACAATCCCTGTTCTTATCTGAGTCTTCTTAACCCTCACTTTCTCCATTTATTGCAACAAAGGCCCTCAATGGTGCTTTTCTCCACCTTCTCTTACTCTCTTCTGAGACATCCTCAGGGCTGTATGTGGTAGAGCTCAGACAGCTCCAGCACTGGGTAGAGATCAGCCAGACTGCAAGCTATCTCAGCAGGAGATGCCAGGATGTACTCAAAGGTCTATTTGCAGAGCCAGGCATGACGGAGAAGGAAAAATCCAAAAAATAAAACAGAACAGCTCTGCTCTAACATAATGCTTTGTGTATTATGTTTTTGCTCTGAGGTGTGCAGACACCTTGCCTAAAAAAACATACTTCCATTTCTGGTAAATTGTTAGAAATGCTCCCTGCAAGACTTGGAAAGCAAGGTGTCTGTTCGTTTCTACAGAAACCTCAGCTTGACAAGAGGTTCCTCATTCTACAGCAATCTGCAGCACAAGATCTGACCCAGAATATATGAGAGAGTAGGGGAAAGAAAAGGGCAGGCTAGGATTACAAGGAATGGGCAGACATAGAACTCTTGGTTCCCAGTTTCTGGAAGGACATATGCCCAGCACTTAAGATCAGAGCTCCTGTTAGTGGAATGATTTCCCTTCCCTGCTGCAGCGCTTACACTCCATTGCGTCTCTCAAAGCACGCACCTCTCCCTGGTGCCTCTTCTCCTTCCTTCACGGAGACCCCATCTCCTGGTCCCACTAATGCCATGCCTGCCTGTACAGAGCCCTGAGATGCTAGATGTGCAGTGAGTGCCCTTTATAGGCTTTAGCAGAGTCAGCAGAGGAAAGCTGGTCCAGCCTGCTGGTGAGTGCCATGGACACCCTTCCAGAGCACTCTCCTCTGCAGCTTCCCATGACAGTCACCTGGGTCCAAACTCCTTGCTGCCTGCCCTTCCTAAGCATACATTGTCAACCATGATCTTCTCTGTGCCCCTCTGCCCAGGAAAACTCTGCTCCAGGGGTCCAGTCCCCAGATATGGCAGCATTACTGCTTCCCACCCTAAAGAGTTGCAACCACCTGTTTCTGGACTAACCCCTCATGGACCCTGAATATACACTCACTCCACTGCCCACAAATAGGGAACAAGTTACAGCCCAAGCTGTAGGTACTGTCACTCCTGCCCTTGTCTAGACTACTTCTGCACATCGTGCCTCAAAGACAAGTCCCTTATGTTTACAGTCTGTCAAGGACCTGCCAATACAGTGAAGAGGAGTCAGAGTTCACCTATAATGAGGAGAAAGAATCTCTCAAAGAGAAACAAAGCAGAGGGAGCATCAAAGGGTGAGGCTCAGTTCAAAAGCTCAATGTTGCTGGCAGGGATGGCAGGGTGATGACTGGTGCAAAGAGATTTTGCCACAAAACTGAATTCCAGCCTCCTTCTTTATTGTGAAATCCTCAATACAACAAAATGAGCTTCTCTTGGGGCTGAAAACAGTGGATCTCAAATCTTAAGGTGCATCAGAATTTCACTGGGATCCACTCCCAGGGTTTCTGATTCAACAGGTCTGGGGTACAAGAGATCTGCATCTCTTGCAAGTTCCCACCTGATGCTGATGTTGTTGGTCCTGGGAACACATTTTGAGAATATTGTATAGAGGCTTGACTTCTGAAGAAAGGGGACTTGGTCTCTAGAGAAAGGGGAAACTGTGGGTTAAGAGGAGGAAACTGCATAGAACTCTCCCAAGAAGAGGTCATGGTGCCCTGAAACACTGCTGGATGCAAAAGAGAAACCCAATCTTCCATGGCACGTGCTTGTGGGAAAAGGACTGGAGGTGGGGTAATTTCCCCTCAAGCCACCTAGCCAAGGAAGAGACCTGCAGACCCTGAGAACTCAGATACTGGTGCAAAGTGCTTGGCCATCTTCAGTTTCCAAAGCAGGAATAGTGGCTCAGTAGCTTTGCTCAGAAGGCATAGGACAAAGGGCTTTGCATTTTTCCCAGGCCCAGTGAAATGGCATTGAGCTCACATTAGTACCATTTGCCCTGGAGTCAAGATCAGATCTGCATTCTGTGTGGCTCCCCTGTGTATTTTCACAGCACCATGAAGCACTTCTTTAAGGCTGGTATTCCAGTAGGCTGCTCCTTTCCTTTCTCTAAGATAGGGGAGGGATGCCTTGTGGATGATCATAGGATACTAAAGCACACAGCTAGTTCCTTCCCAACAGTGACTCTTTAGTGTAACAAAATGAGCTTTCCTACGACCAGCCAGCCATAGCCTTGCCCCCATCCTCCTGTGCCTTTATGAACACAAAGCCCAGCAGGAGAGGCGCAGTTACCAAGACAATGGAAGTTGATGCTCAGAGAAATATTAGTTATAGTGAAAACAAGCCTGGTAATTTTCCCTGAAAGCAAGCAAGCCTGGCCATCTGAAGTATATGCGTAAGGGGCAGGTGGCTGGAGATATATAAAGTATACAGTGCAGGATGATACTGGGAGGCTCAATGAAGTAAAAGTTTCTTGGTAAAAATTGAGGCACCAACCTCTATTTCCTAGTGTCTTAGAAGCTCAGATTGCTTTATGAGCTTGATTATTTAAAAGATAACAGTTGGGGCCGGCTCTGTGGTATAGCTGGTAAAGCCACTGCCTGCAGTGTTGGCATCCCATATGGATGCAGGTTCCAGTCCCGGCTGCTCCACTTCCAATCCAGCTCTCTGCTATGGCCTGAGAAAGCAGTAGAAGATGGCTCAAGTACTTGGGCCCCTGTACCTGCCTGGGAGACTGGGAAGAAGCTCCTGGATCCTGGCTTCAAATCAGAGCAGCTCTGGCCATTGCAGCCAATTAGAGAGTAAACCAGCAGAGAGAAGACCTCTAACTCTGCCTCTCCTTCTCTAACTCTGACTTTC